AAATCTCCTGAGGCTTTCCAGTCACTAGGAAAGATTATAAAGAAAATTTCATTACATCTGAAAGTGCTCATCTGTAGGTAGGAGGGAAGTTGTGTCAACATGGGAGAAAGAGAGAAGCCATACTGACAGCTGCCTCGATGTACCCGATTGTCCCTCACCAAAGCCTTGGGCTGAGGGCACCCTTCAAGTACAGGCATCTCGTCTACCAGATGCAGCTGGTGCTGGAAGAAGGCACGCTAGGAGAGGGCTGGATAAAACAGGAAGGAGCCCTGCCTCCTGGTCATCCTGGGCCTCATGATTTCACTGCACACATCCAATCTCTCCAGTGCTCTGAAATGTACATGAACAGGCAAGTGGGGACAGGAAACAGAAGAATGCCACACAGGTATTTATCTCTGATTGAATATTGTAGTTACTGCTACAGTTTGGATCTGGCCCATGTTTTAAAGCTTGGTGCCCAGCTTGGTGCTACTGGGAGATAACAGACCCCCTTTAACAGATGGGACCCGTCAGGAGGGTCTTTAGGTCATTGGTGGCATGACCTTTAAGGGGATTATGGAACCCTACTGTCTTCCTCTTTTTCTCTTCCGCTTCCCAGCCATGAAGTGAGCAGTTTTGTTCCACCACACAGTCTTCTTATGACCATCTGGCCTCTAAGGGTTTTGTCCGCCATGATGTGCTCCTCACTGAGGTGCAGAGGAACTGGGCCCACTGACCATGGACTGAAGCCTCTAAAACTGTGGGCCAAAATAAACCTTTGTGAAATTGCTTCTCTCAGTTCCTTGCTCCAGCAATGGAAGCTAATACAGCTACACATATATATAGAAGTTGATCCGTGTGATCTTGATAAGAAATGTGAAACCAAACCCCAGTACTTCCTTTTGAGATCTATTAGTGACAGAAGTATTACCTGCCCAGGAGCCCAGACAAGAACATAATTTTAAAGGAGAGAAAGCCTGGGGCTTTCTGATGCCTATTTTTGAAAGCAAAGAACAGCAGCAGTCTAGTTACCAAGAAACTTCTTAACTAGAAAGAGTCCAATAACAAAAAGAAGGGCTGGGGATTTAGCTCAGTGGCACAGTGCCTGCCTGGCAAGCGCGAGGTAGTGAGTTCGATTCCTGGTACCAGAAAAAAAAAAAAAAGTAACAAAAAGAAAGTTTTTGTTTGTATTTTAAGGGGACTTCCTTATCTTTTGGGAAAAAAAATATTACTGTAAATTAGAATGTACATAAACAAAAATGTACAAAGCATAAATATTCAGCATAATGACTATTATAAAGCAAACAGCCATGAAGCCAATGGAGATCAGGAGCCAGAGTGTCATTGCCAATATCGTGAGAGCTCTTCTTAAATGTCCTCACTTCTCAGCATCAAGGGACCCACCACTGGACTCTTTTTAACTTTAGGGTTAGCAGCCCCCGAGGCCTCCTAGCTTTGATCTTCTTCTTCCTCCCTACAGTTCATCCACCAAAGGAGCATGTAAAATAACTGCCCTTAATACCTATGCTCATTGAACTAATCCAATTTACTTTTTCATCTCTGCTTTGTAGCACTGGAGATTAAACTCAGGGCCTCATACATACAAGGCAAGAGCTTCATCACTGAACCACACACACACACACACACACACACACACACATTTTCAAAATTTTATTTTAGAATAGGATTTTACTAAATTACTCAGGTTGGTCTCAAACTTGTAGTGCTCCTGCCTCAGGTCTCTGAGTAGTCTAGCTGGGATTACAGGCATGCACCACCTTGTCCAGCCCAATTTACTTTTAGGTTTTTTTTGTTTTTGTTTTTGTTTTTTTGGTACTGTAAATTGAACTCAGGACTCTGTGCTTACCAAGCAGGTGCTTGTGCCACTGAGCTATATCCCCGGCCCAATTTACTTTTAACAAACAATCACTTCAGGGTTTGAAACAGAATAAACAAAAATAAAAATGATGACAAAAAAGTTTCTCATACACTAAAAATGTTAGCATACTCTTTTCTAGAACACCAGGATGAGTAGGACCCTGCTTCCAACAGGAAGGTACAACCACTTTCCTGTCATAAGGGGCAGGCATCTGCCTGAAACAAATATTTCAGCAAAGACAGCACAATGGTCCAGCAAGGTTTTCCCACCTCTGAAATATAATTAAAAATACAGATATGGATGTTTCAAAAGTTAAAAGCTTAATTAACATTCAACAAAGGATGCATAATCATGTTAGAACTGACGTTTGTGGGCAATTAAGACTAGGAGATAAATTAGCTCTCAATTCTCAGTAGAAGGTGAAGTTAAAAAAAAGCTCTCAACCTGGGTATGGTCTCACACATCTGTAATCCCAGCATTCTGGGAGGCTGAGGCAGCAAGATCATAAATTCAAGCCCAGGCTGGGCAATTTAATGACTTAGTGAGACTCTATCTCAAAAGAAAATAAAAAGGCCTAGGATGTAGCCTAATAGGAAGGCCCTGTTTCAATCCCCAGTACCACAAAAAAAGGTTCAAGTTGCTTAATGGCACAGAATCCAGTTACCTCCGCAGCCTTCCTGTTGCGTAAACAGCAGCTTGTTACCAAAAGCTGCTCCTTAAGCGTTTGTTAATGGAGTGCATTTTACACTGTTGTGTGCAAGTTACCAAGGTAACTGTCCATCCTGGAGACACCAGCAAGTTACAAAATTCATCTTGACACAGAGAGGCTTTAAAATCCAGGGCACCAGCTAAGGGAGGTGCTGGGGACTTGGTCGCACACACCTGCAATCCCAGCCCTCAGGACTCAGGCAGAAGGATCACTGCGAGCGCAAGGCCATGGCACTATGTAGACCCTAACTGGAAGAATAAAAGAGAATTTCGCTAATAAATTCGGATGTTTGTGTGTGACTTAATTATACTTAAAATGTGGAGGAAATCAACCTTAGGATTTTAAAAGAAATTATGCATACAATTTAGGATACAGAGCAGCTTGTCGAGATGTCACGTTTGCTTTTAGACTTTTTTCACTTGGAGTGCAATGTCCAGGTAAGAGTCAGAAAAAGTTACAAGCTCTTTGGGAGAAAATGAAAAATCAGAAGCGGCAGCAGAAGCTCTTTGTTCCCTTCCTCCCGGCGGCGTTGAGACACAAGCAGGGCTGAGGCTCGCAGCAGAGCCTTGCTTTCTGCATAGCGCCACCTAGTGGCTTGGATTGCAAAATTGATTTTATTCTCAAAGATCGAAAATTCCAGTTGTGAACAGATTTGACAAGTTATGACTCACAGAGAGTGTAAATGCTAGCTGAAGAGTCATTTGGATATATCTTACGTCCGAGAGTATACCTCCTATTAACAATGGTTGTGTCACCATTGAGAATTATTGAATGATTATTCAGTAGGT